GGTAATGGCGAACCAACCAGATATCGTGATCATCGATAAAGGGCAGAGGAAAGCCGTTGTAGTGGATGTAGCGGTCCCAAGTGATGGAAACATCAGAAAGAAGGAACACGAGAAACTCGAGAAATACCAAGGGCTCAGAGAGGAGCTGGAGAGAGCCTGGAAGGTAAAGGTGACAGTCGTGCCTGTGGTGGTCGGAGCACTCGGGGCAGTGACCCCCCAAACTAGATGAGTGGTTGCAACAACTCCCGGGAACAACATCGGACATCTCAGTCCAGAAATGTGCAGTGCTGGGAACAGCAAGGATACTGCGCAGAACCCTCAAGCTTCCTGGCCTCTGGTAGAGGACCCGAGCCGAATGAGGGATGGACACCACCCGAGGGGTGAGACGAGGATTTATATATATATAAATAAAAAATTGAAACGAAATCTAATTATTTGTCTTCGTAGCAGTACAAACATCTTGACTGGCGAAACATATCCAGGAATAGACCATGTATCAGCCTCTGCATTCAAAGGTGACATTTAATTTTAACAAAGAGCTAACATTAGCACTTAAGATTCGTAAATTTGTACGTTTGCTAGCCTTAGTGTCACACTAAGGCGAGCAAATATATTGTTGCTACACAGTGTGTAGCAACAATTGAATTTAGGAATATTTTTTGCGGACTTTGTATCGGTCTGTCGTGGTCAAGAAGGAGTATGAGCAATGTCATTTGTTAAGAACAAAGATAGCGTGACGTCAGGCACGCTTAGACTATAAAAGGAGAGCTTCGGATACTCTTAGTAGAGCCGAGAATTAGGAGAGTCGAGAATCAGCAGAGTCCAGAGTCAGCGGAGTCAAAAGTCCAGAGTGGTATTGAAGCTCGCTCTACCTGGGGTGTTGGCTCTCCATCCTATTGACGCACGGTAAGAGCTAGGTACTATTCTAAGAGCTTGATACACTGATATTTGCTTGTTTGACATATTCTGTGGCGCTAATAAACGTGCAATTTGTTAGTAGCAGATTTGTCTCTTGTGCTATTGAATGATTGTGTGACATATTCTGTGGCGCTAATAAACGTGTAATTTGTTCGTAGCAGATTTGTCTCTTGTGTTTCATTTCTGAGTGCCTATCTCCAACGAACCTATTCTAAATTTGATACTGAGCCAGGGCGAGGTATCAGAAATGTTGTGTTTCATTTCTGAGTGCCTATCTCCAACGAACCTATTCTAAATTTGATACTGAGCCAGGGCGAGGTATCAGAAATGTTTTAAAACACGGAGAAGCCGGTAATTTTTCAAAATAAAACATCTTTCGTATTCCGAAATAAATAAAACGGAATTAAGGCAAGTTCTTTCTGTGCGGCCCGGTACCAAATGCCCGGCGGACCGGTACCGGTCCGCGGACCGGCGGTTGGGGACCCCTGGTCATGAGGAATGGGTCGTGACCGAAAAAACAAGATCCTGGATACAAGCGGCCGAAATGAGTTTTCTCCGCAGGGTGTCAGGGCTCTCCCTTAGATATAAGGTGAGAAGCTCGGTCATCTGGGAGGGGCTCAGAGTCGAGCCGCTTCTCCTCCACATCGAGAGGACCCAGATGAGGTGGCTTGGGCATCTGATTAGGATGCCTCCGGAACGCCTCCCTGGTGAGGTCTTCGTGCATGTCCCACCGGCAGGAGACCACGTTGACGACCCAGGACATGCTGGAGAGACTGTCACCCAGCTGGCCTGGGAACCCCTCGGGATCCCCCGGGAAGAGTTAAAAGAAGTGGCTGGGGAGAGGGAAGTCTGGGCTTCCCTGCTAAAGCTGCTGCCCCCGCGACCCAATAAGCGGTATAAGATGGATGGATGGAATATTTTTTGCTCACTAACAAATCTGACGAGCCAACTGAAACTAGTAGCTTATTCAGGTGCAGTGTTGTTGTTACACGCATAATTATCAAGGCAATTAAAATATTTTAATTTTATAAAATATGATTTAATTTTTTTTTTTTTGTTGTTTGTTTTTTACTCTGTTGCCAGAGAGCCCACAAAGCCAGGCATAACACAGCAAGAACAAGTCCAATACAGATGCTGGATCTGGAATTCCAAGCAGGATGAGCTTTCATTGACTCAGATGTGATCAGGACCAAGACAGGACTATTAAGATCTTGAAGGCTTATCCTTATTTTAAAGAGGTAGGCCATGTAAGTGTATATCATTTCCGTAATCAACTCATTTATTTCCTCTTAGCACTCCGCACACCAGACCTTTTACACACTCCTTTTTTTGCATCTCTTTAGTTCATAGCATCTCTTTAGTTCATAGGTGAACTCCAGTGAATCCTTGATAAGTGGAACCCCTTCTTCACAATGGAGCTGAAGAAACTGATGAAATGTTTTCACAAGGCAAAATTTTGTGGAGTGTTCAGAAAAATCACAGGACCACCATTCCAAGACCAAAGTGAGGATGATTAGCTTAAATGTCCCCACCCATACAGAAAGACTTAATATTATTGTTTGATATTGATTGATTGATTGATTTGATTTTCCTATTTCCTACTTGCAGGCTATCTATCCATCCATCCATTTTCTGATCTGCTTATCCTCACGTGGGTCGTGGGGTGTGCTGGAGCCTATCCCAGCTGTCTTTGGGCAGTAGGCGGGGTACACTTGCCACGCATGTTTTTGGAATGTAGGAGGAAATTTGAATACCTGGAGAAAACCCACGCAGGCACGGGGTGAACGCACCACAGGAAGGCCGGAGCTGGATTGAACCCTGCACCTCTGCACTATGCTGACGTGCTAACTAGTTGACCATCAGGCTCATCAAGTCAAAGTTAACCAAATACAAGTGAATATTTCTTTATTTTAAGAAAATAGTTCTAAAGATTCCAGCTTGAAAAATGATGACATAACTTGTTTTAAAATTTAGCTCATTTTCAGTATTTTTATTATTTCAAAATATTTTTTCTTAAAATTTCCACTGGGGTTTTTGCGGTGAACAGAGATCTTCATTCGGAATGACAAAAAAGGTCTCCATGTAAACCCGGCGATTGACTTCATGCAAACCTCTACCATGTCTGGCTCATGCAGCATCCCAATCATCCAGAATTGATATGGGATCAGATTACACTCGGTGTGCAAGGGGCAGTTCCATCCCTCAGTGAAAAGGTGTAACAGTCATGGTATGAAGACATAACCAACACAACAGAGGTGAGCGGCATTTTTTCAGGTCAATAAAGCCTTTTTCCTCCAATCCAAGAAGTACGCTGTAGTACTGATATGTCACACCCCAAAGTTCCCTTCAGAGCCATTACATCTTACGATTCAAAAGAAGGCAGAGGATCTTTGGAGACGTTTTTATAAAAGCTTACTTACACACGATTGGATTTACATGCATACTATCACAAAACATGTTGAAGAATTTAAAATATGGTTAAAATTATTTTAGAAACAGAGGATATCTATTTTTTTGTACAACCTATGTTATCCCAGAGGTATGTATTGGAACTATTAAAACCCTTTCTGTGAATGAGACGTTGCTGGACGTTTGCATATAGGTAAGAGCTGTCATGATTCGGTTTGGGACCAACAGGTGGCCCTGTAAGGCTTCCCCTGCAGCTGCACACCTGTTGGTCATTAGGTAATTAGTGCTTTAAAAGGACTCCCAGCCCGACCACTCATTGTCGGGTCATTGTTGCTCTTTGCTCCTGTCATGTTTGTTTGTTGCCGTTTCTCTGCTGCTGTCAGGTTTGTTTCGGTCATGTTTTGGTCACAGTTCTGTTCTAGCTAGTGATGGGAAAATGAAGCCTCATGAAGCAATGAGGCTTTCCATCCAACTGGTTCGTTCCTGGGCCGAAGCATCATGAGGCTTTATTTGTACTACTGCGCCATCATGTGGAAAATAAATGTCATGACAGACAGTGATTAAAATGATACCATGGATTTCATGTAGAGGTAAGATCGGGCCAAAAAAATCCAGCCCGACCCGGCCTGCTGGTATTTAAGCCCAACCCGGCCCGAGCCCGACCAATGATCTTGATTTGCAGGCCCGAGCCCGAAGCAAACCCGACATTTCCTATTTCATTTGTGATGACTCGGGAGGAGGAAGGGTGATTTTTGGTAACAAATTAAAGCCTGTCTTTTGTCACGAAATCTAAGTTAAACAAGTCTGTATAATTATTTACATCTTTTAAACATGTATTTCTGTTTCTGCAGAGGGGACATTAACCGACAATTTTCCATCATTGACGGAATTTTTTTAAGAGTGGACGGGGAAAATTTAAGGCCGTCCGTCATTTTGAAAATTGGGCCATTCACCACAGCAGCAGTACGTCCTTAAAAATCGAGTGCGGCACTTCAAGAGAAGCAGCGAGACAAAGAAGAACAATGACGGCTGGATCATCGAGACATGGAGTTTTTTGAATTGTCATTGCGAGAGTTTAGTACAGTACGTGTTGTGATGAGGCCACTTCTGTTTCTTGGCGAACCCTGGTCTCTCGTGGCCAAAACTATTCACGGCCTCATAACGAACAAAAAAAAGGTCAGCGAGAGAGAAGCCAGACCCAATCCGCGGACTCAGGCGGGCCGATCTTACCTCTAGTCAGTGTCACCTGTCAGCTCATTGTCGTCCCGGTGCACCGTTTTATTTCGAATCACCCGCGAAACTATTTGTTGGCGGTGACGTAGGAATCCCGTCTCGCGAAGCTTCGGGCGGAGTAATACGCGTTCCGAGGCATCGGGCGTCGCTACAAGCGTAATCGACACATGCCTCGATGCGCACTTTGCAGATTTTCTTCCGGTTTACTCGGCACACGCATCGGAGCCTCGGCACAGTCGGGCACATCACTAGTTCTAGCTTCAGTTGTGATTTTTGTTTGCTACTTTGGACTATGTTTGTTTTGGATTTAGTTTTCTCTGTTTCAATACACTTCATCAAGTACAACCTGCTCCTCCCTGGTGCCTGCTTTTTGGGGTCCACCACCACCTCTCAACGTGACAAGAGCGACTGTAAATGGAGATATAAAAGGGAGCACAATCTTGTCACTCTTTCATAGGTTTATTACATGCTGGAAAACAAATATGGCAGAACAAAATCAATGAATATGAACTACAAACAAAGTAGCATAAAATAATGTGGCTGTACTGTATTTTTTCCCTTTCAAAACTTAGACCCCAGCAGTAATACAGAACTTGTCAATAAATGGAATTTCAACACTAAAGATATATGGAAATAACACTCCAGCCCTCTGACAGTAGCCCAGGCAAAAGAAAAACAAACAAAAAAAAACACATTATACAGGAACATCAAATACAATTAAAAATAATACAGTTGGAAATAAGGGATGCTTTTCAAGATTGCATATACTTATTTTACCAAAGACATGAGACATTTTTAGAAAAAAAAAAGATATTAAAATTAAGAACCACTTCAAGCTGGATACGGACAATCACAACATTCTCGAGTACCCTTACTTTGCAAAAAGGTGCAATACAGGAAATATACTGTAAGTATACCATGCGGAATAAAACCAAAAAAAAAAACCCTTTAAATCTTGACGATGGAACTATGAGCCATTTATTAGAGACATATAATGTATTTGAATGGGTGTTGCTGTGGCGGTAGGAGAGTTGCCTCACAACTTGAGTTACAGGTTCAATCCTTTGTCCCTGGTGTGATGTTTAAGTGTCTTTTAGGAAGAAACAGAGTTACATTTCATTTTCTTTCTCTCTTCTCTCTCTCTCTCTCTCTCTCTCTCTCTCTCTCTCTCTCTCTCTCTGAACATTGTTGGCAACTAGAGTTGATTTTCTTCTGTCCCACTGCGTTTGAGTACAAGTCATTCAGTGCCCTGGTCCGATTTTGTTTTTTGAGAGCGAGGGTCTCAATATCGCAAAGCATCTCAATTTTAAGTTTCTGAAGGTTAAAATGAATTTCATCCTGTGTTTTATGCTTTGTCTCTGAATGACTTTGGCATTTATTCAATCGTTGATCTGTTTTCTTCTCTGCAGATGTCTTTTCCTTGTGGATCCAATATGTTTCAACAAAATTGGTAATCACCTTTAGTCGGTTCTCCAAGTGTTTTTTCATCTCATGTCCAGTGCATTTCATTTGAACAATCTCCTTCTTTTCCATGTTTGTATCCTTCCAGATTTTTCGCAGGCAGTCTCGTTTAGAGGCATTGCTCACGATGGAAACACTTATTTTTTCCAATGATTCAGGCAGAGTGGAAAGATCCTGTTTCAGTTCTCTTCCCGCGTTGTCACTGATGGATAAAATTAGAGGATATTCTCTTTCTGAACTCATAAATTGACCTTTTATATGATGATATTTATGTTCTTGAAGTCCCCACTTTGTTTCCGATTGTTGTGTTTGCATCACTGTTTCATTCTGCAGAGGATTTTTGCTGTGCTCTTTAATTTTTATTTCATTCATTTTTATCAAGTCTTGCCAATTCAGCCATTCTTGAGAAACAACCTCAGTTTGTATACCCTTATTTGATTTTTTCACTACAAAATGGGTGGTCTTTCGTTCTCGCAGGTTATAAAAACCAGTAATGATTAGTTTCTGCTCAAGTCCATCACACATGTCTTTCATTATTTTACTCAAATACAGGCAAAGTTTATTTTGATGAGCAAAGTGAAATATAATCTGTTTAAAATTATGACATAGCTTTTGTTTTAAAAGTTTTAATTTTTCTCGAACAAAATCATTTCTTCCTCTACTGAGCCTGGCAGATTGAGCAACTCTGAGCTCTGACTGTTGGACGTCAATGAGTCTTCCTGTAGTGGCATCAACAACTTTTTGCTTCTCCTCAAGTTCTTTTCTTTGTTTTACCATACTTGCAAGAAGACCATCTTGCCGGCTCCTTTCTCTTTGCAACAGTTTGTTTCGACTTGTTATTTGGTCTGTCTCTTGGTCGAGGTCGGCAAGCATCTTCTTCAAGGCAAGTGTCGTGTTATTTACGCCTTCCTGATTTGTTTCTAAATTCAGTCCTTTCCTGAACATGTTTTCAAGTCTGTTCTCGTTCGCCTTGCGTAGAATGGACTTTGCTTTTTCCAGTAATTGTCTGTTAGTTAAGATGTGATCTTCGTACACTTTGAGCTCAGACCGCAGTTGTTCTGTTTTCTCCTTCTCTGTTGTCAGACTTTCTCTATCGACCTCTAAGTTATTCTGAATTGAAAGTAAATGTTCCCTCTCCTTGATGATTCTCTCCATTGTAGAATCAACTTCTTCTGTCTTCTCAAACATTTCTTCTTTGTGTTTCACCAGGATCGACAGCAGACGACTCAACTGGTACCTGTGTCTCAGCAGCAATTCGTCTCTAAGTGACACTTGATCTTTCATCTGATCCAAGTCCGCAAGTGTATTCGTCAAGGAAAGTGATATTTTCTGCATCACTTCCTGGTTGGCTTCTAATTTGAGTGTATTTTTGGAAGTGCTGTCAAATTTCCTCTCAGTCACCAGCCTTAGACCGGCCTTTGCGGTTTCTGTGGATTGTATTTTAGTCGTGACGTGACCTTGCAAAACTTTGAGCTCAGACCGCAATTTATCCAGCTTGTCCTTCTCAGTTGTTTGTCTTTGCCTCTCGACATCATTAGTCTTCTCGATTGAATGTATTTCTTCCCTCTCAATGCTGACTCTGCCCGAAGCAAGATCAACATCTTTGCCGATCTTCTCAAGTTCTTGTTTTTGCTTCAGCGTCCTTGACAGCAGACTACCCAACTGGATCCTTCCGCTCAGCAGCAGTTTCCTTTTCACTGCTACTTGGTCCGTCATCTGATCAAGGGCTGCCAGCATGTCCTTCAAGGCAAAAGTCATTTTGGGCGCACCTTGCTTGTTTGCGTCGAATTTGATGACTGCCTTGTCATAGTTTGTAAAACTCTTTTCATTCAAACCTTGGAGATTGGCCTTCACCATTTCCAGTGACTGTGTATTAGTCATTAAGTGGTCTTCCCGGCGTTTCAAGTCAGACCGCAGTTGTTCCATCTTGTCCTTCTCAATTGTTAGTCTTTTCTCATCGGCATCGATACTATCCTCTAATAAAAGTACATTTTCCCTCTCAATGGCGACTCTGTCCGAGGCAAAATCAACATTTTGTCCGGTCGTATCAAGTTCTTCTTTTTGTTTTCCCATGCTTGACAGCAGTCGACCTGACTGGATTGTTCTTCTCAGGAGCAGTCTGCTTTTGATTGCGACTTGGGCTGCCATCTGATCAAGGACTGCAAGTGTGGTCTTGATGGCAAGCAACATTTTTCTCATGCTTTCCTTGTTGCCCTCTAATTTGAGAGCCTTCTTGTCAATGTTTTCACGTTTCCTCTCAATCACCTCCTTGACGTTGGCCTTCGCCGTTAGTAAAGGAATGTTAGTTACCAAGTGATCCTCGCATAATTTCAGTGCCGCTTGCTGTTTTTCCAGCTGGTGTTTCTCAATGACTAGTCTTGTTCTTTCTTCTTCAGTCGCATTTTTCTTTGAAAGTATCTGTTTCCTCTCATTCATGAGTCTTTCTGTCGCGGCATCGACCGCTTTTTGCTTCTCCTCAAGTTCTTTTCTTTGTTTGACCATACTTGGCAGGAGACCATCTTGCCGGCCCCTCTCTTTTTGCAAGAGTTTGTTTTGACGACTTATTTGGTCTGTCACTTGATCAAGGTCTGCAAGTGTCTTCCTCAGAGCGAGTGTCATTTTCTCCAGGCCTTCCTTATTTGATTCTAAATGAAGTGCTTTCTTGAATATGTTTTGAAGCCTGTTCTCATTCGCCTTCTGTAGATTGGACTTGGCTTCCTCTAGTGGATTTATTTTCGCTATGAAGTGATCTTCACACACTGTGAGCTCAGACCGCAGTTGTTCTGTTTTCTCCTTCTCAAGTGCCAGACTTTCTCTATCGACCTTTAAATTATTCTGAATTGAAAGTAACTTTTCCCTCTCCTTGATGATTCTCTCCACAGCAGAATCAACATCTTCTCTCTTCTCAAAAATGTCTTGTTTTTGTTTCACCATGATGGACAGCAGGCGATTCAACTGGATCCTTCCTCTCAGCAATAATTTGCTTTTCACTGCTACTTGAGCTGTCATCCGATCAAGGTCGACAAGTGTGTTCTTGATGGCGAGCGGTATTTTCTGCATGCCTTCCTTTTTGGATTCTAATTTGAGTGCTTTTTTGGTCACGTTTTCAAGTTTCTTCTCATTGACCTCCTGGGAATTGGCCTTGATGGTTTTGAGTAATGGAATATTAGTGAGGAAGTGATCTTCCCATACTTTCAGCTCCGCCTGCTGCTGTCCCATCCGCTGTTTCTCGATGGCAAGTCTTCTTCTGTCTTCCTCAATAGTATGTTTGTTTGAAAGTATCAGTTTCCTCTCATCAATGAGTCTTTCTGCAGCGGCATCAACAACTGTTTGCTTCTCCTCAAGTTCTTTTCTTTGTTTGACCATACTTGCCAGCAGACCATCTTGCCGGCTCCTTTCTCTTTGCAACAGTCTGTTTCGACTTGTTATTTGGTCTGTCTCTTGGTCGAGGTCGGCAAGCATCTTCTTCAAGGCAAGTGTCGTGTTATTTACGCCTTCCTGATTTGTTTCTAAATTCAGTCCTTTCCTGAACATGTTTTCAAGTCTGTTCTCGTTCGCCTTGCGTAGAATGGACTTTGCTTTTTCCAGTAATTGTCTGTTAGTTAAGATGTGATCTTCGTACACTTTGAGCTCAGACCGCAGTTGTTCTGTTTTCTCCTTCTCTGTTGTCAGACTTTCTCTATCGACCTCTAAGTTATTCTGAATAGAAAGTAAATGTTCCCTCTCCTTGATGATTCTCTCCATTGTAGAATCAACTTCTTCTGTCTTCTCAAACATTTCTTCTTTGTGTTTCACCAGGATCGACAGCAGACGACTCAACTGGTACCTGTGTCTCAGCAGCAATTCGTCTCTAAGTGACACTTGATCTTTCATCTGATCCAAGTCCGCAAGTGTATTCGTCAAGGAAAGTGATATTTTCTGCATCACTTCCTGGTTGGCTTCTAATTTGAATGTATTTTTGGAAGAGCTGTCAAATTTCCTCTCAGTCACCAGCTGTAGACCGACCTTTGCGGTTTCTGTGGATTGTATTTTAGTCGTGACGTGACCTTGCAAAACTTTGAGCTCAGACCGCAATTTATCCAGCTTGTCCTTCTCAGTTGTTTGTCTTTGCCTCTCGACATCATTAGTCTTCTCGATTGAATGTATTTCTTCCCTCTCAATGCTGACTCTGCCCGAAGCAAGATCAACATCTTTGCCGATCTTCTCAAGTTCTTGTTTTTGCTTCAGCGTCCTTGACAGCAGACTACCCAACTGGATCCTTCCGCTCAGCAGCAGTTTCCTTTTCACTGCTACTTGGTCCGTCATCTGATCAAGGGCTGCCAGCATGTCCTTCAAGGCAAAAGTCATTTTGGGCGCACCTTGCTTGTTTGCGTCGAATTTGATGACTGCCTTGTCATAGTTTGTAAAACTCTTTTCATTCAAACCTTGGAGATTGGCCTTCACCATTTCCAGTGACTGTGTATTAGTCATTAAGTGGTCTTCCCGGCGTTTCAAGTCAGACCGCAGTTGTTCCATCTTGTCCTTCTCAATTGTTAGTCTTTTCTCATCGGCATCGATACTATCCTCTAATAAAAGTACATTTTCCCTCTCAATGGCGACTCTGTCCGAGGCAAAATCAACATTTTGTCCGGTCGTATCAAGTTCTTCTTTTTGTTTTCCCATGCTTGACAGCAGTCGACCTGACTGGATTGTTCTTCTCAGGAGCAGTCTGCTTTTGATTGCGACTTGGGCTGCCATCTGATCAAGGACTGCAAGTGTGGTCTTGATGGCAAGCAACATTTTTCTCATGCTTTCCTTGTTGCCCTCTAATTTGAGAGCCTTCTTGTCAATGTTTTCACGTTTCCTCTCAATCACCTCCTTGACGTTGGCCTTCGCCGTGAGTAAAGGAATGTTAGTTACCAAGTGATCCTCGCATAATTTCAGTGCCGCTTGCTGTTTTTCCAGCTGGTGTTTCTCAATGACTAGTCTTGTTCTTTCTTCTTCAGTCGCATTTTTCTTTGAAAGTATCTGTTTCCTCTCATTCATGAGTCTTTCTGTCGCGGCATCGACCGCTTTTTGCTTCTCCTCAAGTTCTTTTCTTTGTTTGACCATACTTGGCAGGAGACCATCTTGCCGGCCCCTCTCTTTTTGCAAGAGTTTGTTTTGACGACTTATTTGGTCTGTCACTTGATCAAGGTCTGCAAGTGTCTTCCTCAGAGCGAGTGTCATTTTCTCCAGGCCTTCCTTATTTGATTCTAAATGAAGTGCTTTCTTGAATATGTTTTGAAGCCTGTTCTCATTCGCCTTCTGTAGATTGGACTTGGCTTCCTCTAGTGGATTTATTTTCGCTATGAAGTGATCTTCACACACTGTGAGCTCAGACCGCAGTTGTTCTGTTTTCTCCTTCTCAAGTGCCAGACTTTCTCTATCGACCTTTAAATTATTCTGAATTGAAAGTAACTTTTCCCTCTCCTTGATGATTCTCTCCACAGCAGAATCAACATCTTCTCTCTTCTCAAAAATGTCTTGTTTTTGTTTCACCATGATGGACAGCAGGCGATTCAACTGGATCCTTCCTCTCAGCAATAATTTGCTTTTCACTGCTACTTGAGCTGTCATCCGATCAAGGTCGACAAGTGTGTTCTTGATGGCGAGCGGTATTTTCTGCATGCCTTCCTTTTTGGATTCTAATTTGAGTGCTTTTTTGGTCACGTTTTCAAGTTTCTTCTCATTGACCTCCTGGGAATTGGCCTTGATGGTTTTGAGTAATGGAATATTAGTGAGGAAGTGATCTTCCCATACTTTCAGCTCCGCCTGCTGCTGTCCCATCCGCTGTTTCTCGATGGCAAGTCTTCTTCTGTCTTCCTCAATAGTATGTTTGTTTGAAAGTATCAGTTTCCTCTCATCAATGAGTCTTTCTGCAGCGGCATCAACAACTGTTTGCTTCTCCTCAAGTTCTTTTCTTTGTTTGACCATACTTGCCAGCAGACCATCTTGCCGGCTCCTTTCTCTTTGCAACAGTCTGTTTCGACTTGTTATTTGGTCTGTCTCTTGGTCGAGGTCGGCAAGCATCTTCTTCAAGGCAAGTGTCGTGTTATTTACGCCTTCCTGATTTGTTTCTAAATTCAGTCCTTTCCTGAACATGTTTTCAAGTCTGTTCTCGTTCGCCTTGCGTAGAATGGACTTTGCTTTTTCCAGTAATTGTCTGTTAGTTAAGATGTGATCTTCGTACACTTTGAGCTCAGACCGCAGTTGTTCTGTTTTCTCCTTCTCTGTTGTCAGACTTTCTCTATCGACCTCTAAGTTATTCTGAATAGAAAGTAAATGTTCCCTCTCCTTGATGATTCTCTCCATTGTAGAATCAACTTCTTCTGTCTTCTCAAACATTTCTTCTTTGTGTTTCACCAGGATCGACAGCAGACGACTCAACTGGTACCTGTGTCTCAGCAGCAATTCGTCTCTAAGTGACACTTGATCTTTCATCTGATCCAAGTCCGCAAGTGTATTCGTCAAGGAAAGTGATATTTTCTGCATCACTTCCTGGTTGGCTTCTAATTTGAATGTATTTTTGGAAGAGCTGTCAAATTTCCTCTCAGTCACCAGCTGTAGACCGACCTTTGCGGTTTCTGTGGATTGTATTTTAGTCGTGACGTGACCTTGCAAAACTTTGAGCTCAGACCGCAATTTATCCAGCTTGTCCTTCTCAGTTGTTTGTCTTTGCCTCTCGACATCATTAGTCTTCTCGATTGAATGTATTTCTTCCCTCTCAATGCTGACTCTGCCCGAAGCAAGATCAACATCTTTGCCGATCTTCTCAAGTTCTTGTTTTTGCTTCAGCGTCCTTGACAGCAGACTACCCAACTGGATCCTTCCGCTCAGCAGCAGTTTCCTTTTCACTGCTACTTGGTCCGTCATCTGATCAAGGGCTGCCAGCATGTCCTTCAAGGCAAAAGTCATTTTGGGCGCACCTTGCTTGTTTGCGTCGAATTTGATGACTGCCTTGTCATAGTTTGTAAAACTCTTTTCATTCAAACCTTGGAGATTGGCCTTCACCATTTCCAGTGACTGTGTATTAGTCATTAAGTGGTCTTCCCGGCGTTTCAAGTCAGACCGCAGTTGTTCCATCTTGTCCTTCTCAATTGTTAGTCTTTTCTCATCGGCATCGATACTATCCTCTAATAAAAGTACATTTTCCCTCTCAATGGCGACTCTGTCCGAGGCAAAATCAACATTTTGTCCGGTCGTATCAAGTTCTTCTTTTTGTTTTCCCATGCTTGACAGCAGTCGACCTGACTGGATTGTTCTTCTCAGGAGCAGTCTGCTTTTGATTGCGACTTGGGCTGCCATCTGATCAAGGACTGCAAGTGTGGTCTTGATGGCAAGCAACATTTTTCTCATGCTTTCCTTGTTGCCCTCTAATTTGAGAGCCTTCTTGTCAATGTTTTCACGTTTCCTCTCAATCACCTCCTTGACGTTGGCCTTCGCCGTGAGTAAAGGAATGTTAGTTACCAAGTGATCCTCGCATAATTTCAGTGCCGCTTGCTGTTTTTCCAGCTGGTGTTTCTCAATGACTAGTCTTGTTCTTTCTTCTTCAGTCGCATTTTTCTTTGAAAGTATCTGTTTCCTCTCATTCATGAGTCTTTCTGTCGCGGCATCGACCGCTTTTTGCTTCTCCTCAAGTTCTTTTCTTTGTTTGACCATACTTGGCAGGAGACCATCTTGCCGGCCCCTCTCTTTTTGCAAGAGTTTGTTTTGACGACTTATTTGGTCTGTCACTTGATCAAGGTCTGCAAGTGTCTTCCTCAGAGCGAGTGTCATTTTCTCCAGGCCTTCCTTATTTGATTCTAAATGAAGTGCTTTCTTGAATATGTTTTGAAGCCTGTTCTCATTCGCCTTCTGTAGATTGGACTTGGCTTCCTCTAGTGGATTTATTTTCGCTATGAAGTGATCTTCACACACTGTGAGCTCAGACCGCAGTTGTTCTGTTTTCTCCTTCTCAAGTGCCAGACTTTCTCTATCGACCTTTAAATTATTCTGAATTGAAAGTAACTTTTCCCTCTCCTTGATGATTCTCTCCACAGCAGAATCAACATCTTCTCTCTTCTCAAAAATGTCTTGTTTTTGTTTCACCATGATGGACAGCAGGCGATTCAACTGGATCCTTCCTCTCAGCAATAATTTGCTTTTCACTGCTACTTGAGCTGTCATCCGATCAAGGTCGACAAGTGTGTTCTTGATGGCGAGCGGTATTTTCTGCATGCCTTCCTTTTTGGATTCTAATTTGAGTGCTTTTTTGGTCACGTTTTCAAGTTTCTTCTCATTGACCTCCTGGGAATTGGCCTTGATGGTTTTGAGTAATGGAATATTAGTGAGGAAGTGATCTTCCCATACTTTCAGCTCCGCCTGCTGCTGTCCCATCCGCTGTTTCTCGATGGCAAGTCTTCTTCTGTCTTCCTCAATAGTATGTTTGTTTGAAAGTATCAGTTTCCTCTCATCAATGAGTCTTTCTGCAGCGGCATCAACAACTGTTTGCTTCTCCTCAAGTTCTTTTCTTTGTTTGACCATACTTGCCAGCAGACCATCTTGCCGGCTCCTTTCTCTTTGCAACAGTCTGTTTCGACTTGTTATTTGGTCTGTCTCTTGGTCGAGGTCGGCAAGCATCTTCTTCAAGGCAAGTGTCGTGTTATTTACGCCTTCCTGATTTGTTTCTAAATTCAGTCCTTTCCTGAACATGTTTTCAAGTCTGTTCTCGTTCGCCTTGCGTAGAATGGACTTTGCTTTTTCCAGTAATTGTCTGTTAGTTAAGATGTGATCTTCGTACACTTTGAGCTCAGACCGCAGTTGTTCTGTTTTCTCCTTCTCTGTTGTCAGACTTTCTCTATCGACCTCTAAGTTATTCTGAATAGAAAGTAAATGTTCCCTCTCCTTGATGATTCTCTCCATTGTAGAATCAACTTCTTCTGTCTTCTCAAACATTTCTTCTTTGTGTTTCACCAGGATCGACAGCAGACGACTCAACTGGTACCTGTGTCTCAGCAGCAATTCGTCTCTAAGTGACACTTGATCTTTCATCTGATCCAAGTCCGCAAGTGTATTCGTCAAGGAAAGTGATATTTTCTGCATCACTTCCTGGTTGGCTTCTAATTTGAGTGTATTTTTGGAAGTGCTGTCAAATTTCCTCTCAGTCACCAGCCTTAGACCGGCCTTTGCGGTTTCTGTGGATTGTATTTTAGTCGTGACGTGACCTTGCAAAACTTTGAGCTCAGACCGCAATTTATCCAGCTTGTCCTTCTCAGTTGTTTGTCTTTGCCTCTCGACATCATTAGTCTTCTCGATTGAATGTATTTCTTCCCTCTCAATGCTGACTCTGCCCGAAGCAATATCAACATCTTTGCCGATCTTCTCAAGTTCTTGTTTTTGCTTCAGCGTCCTTGACAGCAGACTACCCAACTGGATCCTTCCGCTCAGCAGCAGTTTCCTTTTCACTGCTACTTGGTCCGTCATCTGATCAAGGGCTGCCAGCATGTCCTTCAAGGCAAAAGTCATTTTGGGCGCACCTTGCTTGTTTGCGTCGAATTTGATGACTGCCTTGTCATAGTTTGTAAAACTCTTTTCATTCAAACCTTGGAGATTGGCCTTCACCATTTCCAGTGACTGTGTATTAGTCATTAAGTGGTCTTCCCGGCGTTTCAAGTCAGACCGCAGTTGTTCCATCTTGTCCTTCTCAATTGTTAGTCTTTTCTCATCGGCATCGATACTATCCTCTAATAAAAGTACATTTTCCCTCTCAATGGCGACTCTGTCCCAAGCAAAATCAACATTTTCTCCGGTCGTATCAAGTTCTTCTTTTTGTTTTGCCATGCTTGACAGCAGTCGACCTGACTGGATCGTTCTTCTCAGGAGCAGTCTGCTTTTGATTGCTACTTGGGCTGCCATCTGATCAAGGACCGCAAGTGTGGTCCTCAAGTTCTTGTTTTTGCTTCAGCGTCCTTGACAGCAGACTACCCAACTGGATCCTTCCGCTCAGCAGCAGTTTCCTTTTCACTGCTACTTGGTCCGTCATCTGATCAAGGGCTGCCAGCATGTCCTTCAAGGCAAAAGTCATTTTGGGCGCACCTTGCTTGTTTGCGTCGAATTTGATGACTGCCTTGTCATAGTTTGTAAAACTCTTTTCATTCAAACCTTGGAGATTGGCCTTCACCATTTCCAGTGACTGTGTATTAGTCATTAAGTGGTCTTCCCGGCGTTTCAAGTCAGACCGCAGTTGTTCCATCTTGTCCTTCTCAATTGTTAGTCTTTTCTCATCGGCATCGATACTATCCTCTAATAAAAGTACATTTTCCCTCTCAATGGCGACTCTGTCCGAGGCAAAATCAACATTTTGTCCGGTCGTATCAAGTTCTTCTTTTTGTTTTCCCATGCTTGACAGCAGTCGACCTGACTGGATTGTTCTTCTCAGGAGCAGTCTGCTTTTGATTGCGACTTGGGCTGCCATCTGATCAAGGACTGCAAGTGTGGTCTTGATGGCAAGCAACATTTTTCTCATGCTTTCCTTGTTGCCCTCTAATTTGAGAGCCTTCTTGTCAATGTTTTCACGTTTCCTCTCAGTCACCTCCTTGACATTGGCCTTCGCCGTTCGTAATGGAATGTTAGTTATCAAGTGATCCTTGCATAATTTCAGTGCCGCTTGCTGTTTTTCCAGCTGGTGTTTCTCAATGACTAGTCTTGTTCTTTCTTCTTCAGTCGCATTTTTCTTTGAAAGTATCTGTTTCCTCTCATTCATGAGTCTTTCTGTCGCGGCATCGACCGCTTTTTGCTTCTCCTCAAGTTCTTTTCTTTGTTTGACCATACTTGGCAGGAGACCATCTTGCCGGCCCCTCTCTTTTTGCAAGAGTTTGTTTTGACGACTTATTTGGTCTGTCACTTGATCAAGGTCTGCAAGTGTCTTCCTCAGAGCGAGTGTCATTTTCTCCAGGCCTTCCTTATTTGATTCTAAATGAAGTGCTTTCTTGAATATGTTTTGAAGCCTGTTCTCATTCGCCTTCTGTAGATTGGACTTGGCTTCCTCTAGTGGATTTATTTTCGCTATGAAGTGATCTTCACACACTGTGAGCTCAGACCGCAGTTGTTCTGTTTTCTCCTTCTCAAGTGCCAGACTTTCTCTATCGACCTTTAAATTATTCTGAATTGAAAGTAACTTTTCCCTCTCCTTGATGATTCTCTCCACAGCAGAATCAACATCTTCTCTCTTCTCAAAAATGTCTTGTTTTTGTTTCACCATGATGGACAGCAGGCGATTCAACTGGATCCTTCCTCTCAGCAATAATTTGCTTTTCACTGCTACTTGAGCTGTCATCCGATCAAGGTCGACAAGTGTGTTCTTGATGGCGAGCGGTATTTTCTGCATGCCTTCCTTTTTGGATTCTAATTTGAGTGCTTTTTTGGTAACGTTTTCAAGTTTCTTCTCATTGACCTCCTGGAAATATGCCTTGATGGTTTTGAGTAATGGAATATTAGTGAGGAAGTGATCTTCCCATACTTTCAGCTCCGCCTGCTGCTGTCCCATCCGCTGTTTCTCGATGGCAAGTCTTCTTCTGTCTTCCTCAATAGTATGTTTGTTTGAAAGTATCAGTTTCCTCTCATCAATGAGTCTTTCTGCAGCGGCATCAACAACTGTTTGCTTCTCCTCAAGTTCTTTTCTTTGTTTGACCATACTTGCCAGCAGACCATCTTGCCGGCTCCTTTCTCTTTGCAACAGTCTGTTTCGACTTGTTATTTGGTCTGTCTCTTGGTCGAGGTCGGCAAGCATCTTCTTCAAGGCAAGTGTCGTGTTATTTACGCCTTCCTGATTTGTTTCTAAATTCAGTCCTTTCCTGAACATGTTTTCAAGTCTGTTCTCGTTCGCCTTGCGTAGAATGGACTTTGCTTTTTCCAGTAATTGTCTGTTAGTTAAGATGTGATCTTCCCACACTTTGAGCTCAGACCGCAGTTGTTTTGTTTTCTCCTTCTCTGTTGTCAGACTTTCTCTATTGACCTCTAAATTATTCTGAATTGAAAGTAAATGTTCCCTCTCCTTGATGATTCTCTCCATTGTAGAATCAACTTCTTCTGTCTTCTCAAACATTTCTTCTTTGTGTTTCACCAGGATCGACAGCAGACGACTCAACTGGTACCTGTGTCTCAGCAGCAATTCGTCTCTAAGTGACACTTGATCTTTCATCTGATCCAAGTCCGCAAGTGTATTCGTCAAGGAAAGTGATATTTTCTGCATCACTTCCTGGTCGGCTTCTAATTTGAGTGTATTTTTGTAAGTGCTGTCAAATTTCCTCTCAGTCACCAGCTGTAGACCGGCCTTTATGGTTTCTGTGGATTGTATTTTAGTCGTGACGTGATCTTGCAAAACTTTGAGCTCAGACCGCAATTTATCCAGCTTGTCCTTCTCAGTTGTTTGTCTTTGCCTCTCGACATCATTAGTCTTCTCCATTGAACGTATTCCTTCCCTCTCAATCCTGAATCTGCCCGAAGCAAGATCAACATCTTTGCCGATCTTCTCAAGTTCTTGTTTTTGGTTCAGAGTACTTGACAGCAGACTACCCAACTGGATCCTTCTGCTCAGCAGCAGTTTCCTTTTCACTGCTACTTGGTCCGTCATCTGATCAAGGGCTGGAAGCATTTTCTTCAAGGCAAACGTCATTTTGGGCACACCTTGCATGTTTGCATCTAATTTGATGACTGACTCTTCTCTCTTCATGTCAAGTTCTTTTTTTTGTTTTATCATGCTTGACAGCAGTTTACCCAACTGTGTCCTTCCCATCCTCTGTTGTTGTTTTGTACTTTGTACTTCGTCTCTCATTTGAGCAAGATTTGCCAGTATGTGTTTTAATGCAAGCATCATTTTTGGCATTTCTTTATTAGCTGCTAACATGACAACTCTCTTTGTCATATCTTCAATTTTATTATCATTCCGCTCTTTGAGACTTTCTCTGACTGTTTCAGTTGATTTTATGTTGGTCATAAAGTGAACTCCTCGTACAGTCTCCTCAGAGTTCAATTTTTCTATCTCCTTTTGAATTGCAAAGATTTTACTTCTGACATTATGCTTCATTGCAAATCGGTTCTGCATTGTGTTGCTTCCTCTGTTCACAGCAGCATCAACCTTTTTTGTATTTATATCGTGTTTGTGCCAAAAATCTTCAACATCCTTTCCATGCTTCTGGACACATTTTTTGAATTTGTTAATTGTTTTATGTAAGTCTTCTTTTTGAAGCATTACACTGTTGAAAATATTTTGCTCGGTTTTTGAAATAAATTGCATGAAATATTTCATTCGCTCTGTTCTTTGCCGAAGCTGCAGAGTCGAACCCTGAAGGTTGCGTGTCTTTGTACTCATGTCATTAAATAAACTACAGAGAATGTGTTTATTGACTCTGAGCTCACACTTTGTGATTTCCAATTCTTTTGTTGTTTCTTTCAGTAATTCTTTATTTTTCTCCAGAAAAAAAAAATGCCGTTTTATGTCAGCCTTGTATTTGTTCATGTTACACCTTATCAATTCCAGCACACTTTTCTTTACTTCCTTTGTTATTTTCTTTAAATCACAAATTTCCTTTCTACTTTTAATTTCTAGCCTTATGTGTTCCACTTCATATTTTATTTTACTTGTGATTTTTGGCTGCCTACCTATGTTTTGCTTGATGTCATGAATTGTTTGATTCAGCCATTCACAGTGCATTCCCGTAATTGTCTGTAATTCCATGCATTTGTGAATCACAGGACACTTGTTTTCACTTTGACTAGAGTCGTTTGTGATAATGGAGGATGTGACTTCTTCCTGGCATTTTTTTACATTCCGTTTAAGGATCTCTAAATGATCAATTTCTTTGGTAACCATCTCCAGTTGCCTATTTTGTTCTTTTTGCCACCTTCGTGTCCTCCTTTTGAGTGATTTATTTTCTATTTTTATCTCAGCATCTTTCTTTTTATTTTCTTGCTGTATTCGTTTGACTTTTCTTAAAATATTTCGATTTTCTTTCTGGTTGATCTCCAACTCATTTTTTAACACTTCAATCTCTTTGGTTTCTCTTTTCACACTCTTAAGTTTCATTTCAAGTTCTTTTATTTGTGTTTGCGTTTCTTTTCTGATGTCGAACATTTTCCTGAGAGGGATCATCATCTTTGATTTTTTCATCCTTACATCAAATATAAGAGTCTTGCTCTCTCTTTGGAATGCAGTGAGACACGCTCTTTGGTTGCATAAATAAACCATCGCATTTTCCAGAATTTTCATTTGCTCACTCATAATTTCCAGCTGTGTGTGGATCATTTGTATGGTGTCACGGGGACCAATGAGGACTTGTGAATTTAACTGTTCTTTACCCGTTTGACCTACTATTTTTTGTACCTTTATCCCTTCTAAATGTTTAATCCTTGGATTGTTGCATGCACAAATTACAACAGTTGAGTCATTGGTCCTGCCTTTACTGTTCTCAGACAGTTCTTTTTGCTGTTGTTGCAGTTTGAACCTCAGAAGTTCCAATTCATCCCTCTCTTTTATAATTTTTTCGAGCGTTTTGTCAAACTCTTTTACCTTCCTTTTGGTACTTGCTTTCATTAATCCTATTTCGTTTTTCATTTTAAACCAGATTTTTGTTGTTTCTTTCAGTTTTCTTTTGTATTTTCTTAATGCTTGTTCACTTTGCTTTTTACTTTTGACAAGCTCTGTCTTTTGGAACTGTATATCTTGTAGCTCTTGTTTAATAGTGTGATTTTTATCAAGTTGCTTTTTCTCTCTTCGTATATCCTCCCTTAAACTGTTTACGTTGTACATTTCTTGCACAGCTCCTACTTGAGTGCCTTCAGGCACCCATGCCTCCTTTTTGGCTCCTTGACATTCCTCTTTGTCACTTTTTTTTCCCAGTGTTGTGGCCTTTCCTATGAGTGATCCAGCTTTAATTCTTGTAGTTGCAGCTCCCTTCAGATCATCATTTTCATCCTCCACTCCTTCCGTTTTGTAGACTGAGTTCGTATCATCAGTTTGTCTTACTTTTTTATTGGATTTCCAAAGGCTAGCAGTTGTCTGAGGAAACCCGGAAAGGCTTTTCACGTCTCGTTTCTTATCACTTTGATCTTGATTTTTATTTTGTGGGTTATTTTGTTCTTCCTCTGGATGTTCAGTTTTGGTGAATATATTTTGGAAATGATATTCAGTCTTTGGTCTTTGCAAATTATTTATATCCATGATCAGTCTATTCATCTCCTGAATTCTCTCCTGCATGTTCTCCATAGAATGTTCTATTGTCTTTCTCTGTTTTTCATCTGTCACCTTGAGCTCATGTGCCTCATTTTCAGCATATTCCATTTCTCTTATTAATTCAGCCATAAGAATTTCTTCAGTCACTTCCATCTCGTTTTTTTCTGTGTCATCCGATGTAAATGTTTCATCCTTCACTTCTGTGCTTGTTTCATTCTGGCCTTCTTCATACGATGAAAAGACAGAGCTATTTAGTTTTACTGAAGTCTCTTCATATTTCCATCTGCTGAACTGAGGGTTCTTCAAATTGAGTTTGTCCTTTACAAAAAAGAATATTGTTTTAGTATTATTTTTCATCCATGGTTTTGTCAACTGTAAAAACAACATTAGGGGTTATTTATGTCAACAGTTTTACTCCAATTACAAATATTGGATGTTTCCAGCCGACATTCTAAATTTCGAATATTAGGGTTTAAAACAAACAAACATAAAAAAAATAAAAAATAAAAAAAATAAAAAAGCCAGGCCTCTGGTCAGCTCACCTAAGGCACGGGCAAGAATATTGGAATGCAGCAGTGAAGAAAAGTAGGGGGGCATGAGATCATTTTGGAATTTTGAGATCAGATTATTAAAAATCTTAAACTAAAAAATGCACAGGCAGCCAGTGGAAGGAGGGCATAGTCAGAGGTGTTGTACTCCTGTTCACATGTTCGGGTTAATAGGCAGTGGCAGCATTTTGAACCAACTGGAGACCTTTTAAAAGGCACTTGCTGACTCCAAAATTAAGTGTCTTCCAGTAAGCCTACTGAGTTGTGATGAAGGCATGGACTATAGATTCAAAATGCTACTATGTCAGAGAAAGGTTCACCTTTGCCAGCTGCTCAGGTGAAAAAAAATGTTGACCTAATTATCATTAACCCACCAATTTGGAACCAGTATTCAGTAAATGTCTCATTAGAACATCCAACGTGAGACTGTTAGCGTCACAAAATCTGCCAAGGAGCCCAAATTAAATGGTCCGTGTCTGTGTGTGTGTGTGTTTTCCATAAAGGTTTAAGTTTATGGCCATCCAGGCTTTTATTACAGCTTTTATCTTTTCAAGACAAAGCTGGCAACCAGTTCAGGGTGTCCCCCACCTACTGCCCGAAGACAGCTGGGATAGGCTCCAGCACCCCCCGCGACCCTTGTGAGGATAAAGCGGATCGGAAAATGGATGGATGGCTGGATGGATTTGTGGTGTCCAGAACTGTCCAGGACTTTTGATTTATTCTTTTAATGTTGTGCAACATGTGACCAGCCCGACACATGAACAAGGACATATTTTAGACCTAATTCTTGGTTACGGTCTACCAGTGTCATACTTGAAAGTCTTGGACAACGTGGTTTCTGATGACATGACAGTTTTCTTTGATGTTGTTTCATCTCGTCCTACTGTTAAACCTGCTGCTCCAGAGTGAAACTGCCAAATATTTACCCCTCTCACTGCTGGTCGGTTCGCTGATGCTTTCAATGAGCTTAGCATCCCCTCTTCAAGAGGAACTCACCTCTTCAACTAGCCTAGACCTGAGCCATAGTTTAACGAAAGAACTCGCGCAGCGAAGCAGGAGTGTCGTAAAGCTTAACCTAAGTGGAGAAATAGCAAGCTGCAGGTCTCTTATCAAATCTGGAATGACTTCTGGCGTAACTACCAGTTCACATGTAAAGCGGTCAAAAAAAGAACATTTCCATCAATCCATCCATATTTCCATTTTTTGATTTGCTTTATCCTCACAAGGGTCACGGGGCATGCTGGAGCCCATCCCAGCCGTATTCGAGCAGTAGGCGGGGGGGGGGGGGGGCACTCTGCACTGTTTTTTTTTCACACAGAGACGAACAGCCATCCCCGCTCACACTCACACCTAGGGACAATTTAGTGTTCCATTAACCAGCCATGCATGCTTTTGGAATGTGGGAGGAAACCGGAGAGCCCAGAGAAAACCCACACAGGCACGAGAAGAACATGCAAACTCCACACAGGGAGGCCGGTGCCAGAATATAAAAAGAAACCTTCACCTCTGCACAGTGAGGCCGACATGCTAACCAGTAAACCACCAGGCCGCCCAAGAGAACAATTATCAAACCTAATTCAGGCTAACTATCAAAACCACTGTGAACTATTTAAAACTATTGGTTCTGTACTTAAACACCCTCAATCAATTTGCTCAGACTTTACACCTGAAATGTGCAACAGATTCCTGCAGTTTTTGATTGATAAGATTTCTACAGATAGGACTCTTGTTTCTAATAGCACATTTGACCTCTCTGTCCATGTTCTGTGTTAAGTTGTGTTAAATTCTTTTGAAGCCGTGTCCTTGACGTTTTTAGACGGTGTGGTTTGCCAGACTAAGCGATCTGGATCCCTTTGACTCTGTTCTTACCACATTTCTTTAAGGAGGTTCTCCCAAGTATTTGCAAATTGGGCTTGGCCATTATCAACAGAAGTCTCTTCTGGTCTAGTTCCCCAACAATTTAAAAATGCTGTGGTGCAAACCATGCTCAAGAAACCTGGCCTTGATCAAGATATACTACCAAATTTTAGGCCCATTTCCCAGCTGCCTTTCATTTAAAAAATATGGAAAAATTGGTGCACATGCAGTTAAAATCTTTCTTGGATTAAAATATTGGAGGTATTGCATTCAGGTTTCAAGATAATAGCACAGAGTCACCCCTGTGACAAATTTTTAATTACATCCTCCTGGCAAATGACACTGGAGACTATGTGTGTCTGGTTTTATTGGATTTAACTGCAGAATCTGATATGGTGGATCACAGTATTCTCATTTGCAGCACCTGGTGGGCATTAGCGGTAGTACACTTGAGTTTTTTTCAGGCCTTTTTTTGGCTGACAGTATTTTTTGTGTTAGCCTTGGTTGCGCTGAGTCATGAACTTCCCCACTGTCATGTGGTGTTCCACAGGGTGCAATGCTGGGGTCTCTATTGTTTTAATTGTATCTGCTCACTTTGGGTTCCATCTTAAGATAAGATAAGAAAAACCTTTATTAGTCTCGCAATGGAGAAATTCCCAATTCACAGCAGCAAAGTTATGAAAGGAAGAAGTAGAACAACAAAATATAGGAGCTGCTGGAAAGGCAGCCACTCTCGCGGCGCCATCTTGAAGTCAAAATAACAAATATAACACAACACAACACATAGGACACAGACAGTTGTGCAATCTTCACCACTTTCCTGCATACACTTCGTTGTCTGAAGCAGTTATAGATGAAAGAGGAGAGGATCAAAGTGTCCTTTTACCAGTGGATCAAAGACGTCATGCTGAAAATGTGCACGTCTGCTACAAGCTAAGTTTTGAAAGCAAACACGAAGCTGTAGCGCCCATTGACAAAAAGAGATTAGTTCACTTCTCCTGTCCCACGTAATCCGCTCCAACTCCAAGCCGCGACTCCCGGTTCCACATCCGCATCGGTGCTCTGCGCTAACGCTCCTCTCATCGTCAGCTCCTCAAGCCTTGCATCCATCCAGCCGCAGACCGTTCAACAGCACCGATGTCTCCACTGAACAAAGCGGGGCTGTGAAAATGCTGCCCATTACAGGCGCAAGACACAAGCGCCCCGGAGCTGTCCAGCAACGACAGTCAAATGGCGCCGACATTCCTCCCAATCAAAAACAGTGCTGGCATACCCGTGCTGCCGAGAAGGCGCAACCACCAAGCACCGAGTCTCCTCCTTGAAGAATGTCGTGGCCAAAAAATGCTGAAAACAGTCCACATCAGGTCCACACGACGTAACAACCAACACAAAGTGACACAACAAACAGAAAAACAACAAAAAAAGCAAGGCTCATGAGAGCACTTGCCGACGGCTGCCTACTCGGGCGCCATCTTGGACTTCAATTTAAGGAATGTGGATGACTTTCAGATCTATGCAAAAAAAAAGACACTTTCTCATTGAGGCCACTTGTATCCTGTTGAAAGGAAACCAATACAGTACCTGGTATGCATTGAATTTTTTGAATTTCAATGAAAAGAAAACGGAAGTGATGGTGTTTGGTCCCAGTGGCCCTTGGCCATCCCATCCTGCGGACTTGGGCCCCCTGTCTCTGTATCTAAAACAAACAGTCTCAAACTTGGGTTTTAAACTCGACAGTGATTTTAAATTGGATCAGCAAATAGGTGCTGTGGTTAACTACAGCTTTTTTTCATCTTAGGCAGCTGGCTAAAGTAAAGCCTCTCCTTTCTCAAAAGCACTTCGAAACAGTAATTCATGCCTTTGTCACATCTCGGCTGGATTACTGTAATGCATTTTACTTTAGAGTCAGACAATCCTCCATTAAGCATCTCCAGGTGGTCGAAAATGCTGCTGTTTGAGCCTTGACTGGTACTCGTAAAAGGCAGCAAATAACTCCTTCTCTGGCATCACTTCATTGGCTTCCTATACATTTTCGAGTTCTTTTCAAGATTCTATTATTTGTTTTCTAAATCTTTAAATGGCCTCGCCACACATTGACTGTCTGAGCTCCTCCGCCCCTATACATCTGCCCAGTGCCTCGGGTCCTTGGACCAGACAGTATTACAGGTTGTTTTTCCAGTTGTTCCGGATATACTGCGAACTCCCATCTTTAAAACTCAATTTGAAACTCATTTTTATTCTTTTTGGCTCATACTTGATTTTTAGTTTTACTGTGTTTGTACTTTCTGCTGTCTACCTTATTAATTAATAATTTTATTGTTGTATGAATTCTTCTTGGTCCATGTTCAGCACTTTGTATATAGTGGTGGTTGTTTTGAAGTGCTCTATAAATATATTTGAATTGAGTTGAGTTGATAGAGACAGATACTTACCCTCTCATCTGACTTGGTTCTTGTCATCTCGTTGATGTGCACTTGTGCGTGCTGTGCACCTCGACGGCAGTGTTGAGATTGCATCGAATCCTCTCGTTTTTCTTCAAGCTCATGTCTCTGTTTTTGCAGCTTCATCTTGAGGATTTCTAATTCATCCCTCTCTCTCATGTTTCGTTCAAGTTTTTGGTCAAGTTCTTGATGTTTTTTCTTAGCTTGCCATCTCATGCATTTGACTTTTTGTTTTGTGAATTCCTTTGCATTCTGTTTTCTCACCAAGTTGACGAGCCTTTTTGTTTTTTTTTCTTCAAGAAATATTCTGTACATTTGAGCATTCACTTTTTTCTTTGGGTGCATCATGATCCTGTCTTCATCCACATGCTTTCGTGTATTTAGTGTCTTTTTTAATATATCCCCTTGTTGTTGTCCACTGTTTTCTGGCACATAGGATTCGAAAAACATGTTTGTTTTTTCAAAAAATTCTTTCAGTTTTATTGCTGGTGATGCGTCTTTTAGTATTTTAGTATGTCTTTGCATTTTACTCCAAATGTTATCAATATGCTTGAAAAGTACAGTGATTGTGTTAATGATGCGCTTAATTTCATTTTTAACTCGTGAAACTTCTGTTCCATTTCTTTTTAATACTTGGTTTAAATATGCCATGCTTTTCTGCATTAATTCATTGGCTTGCTTTGCACCAATAATTGTCTTCCAATTATGGGTCACCAGACTTTGAATACACTCACCTGTCAACCACTGCTTTATTTGGTCGTTAGTTTCATTGAGATTTTTCTTGTGTTCCGTTGATTTCGAAAAATTCATCAATTTTAGATTATATTGCTTGGTTTTAATCTCATTATATTGTCTCCCCAGAATTTGACTATCTCTGTTTATGACAGTCAACGTTTGCTGGATAAGCATTTGTTCTTTTGTGGCTGTCTTTTTGCTCATCTCAATTTTCTGAGTAAAATGTTTCATTTGTAATTTCAAAGTTTTTGCAAGCAGGCTCTGGTCATGTTTTTCATCTTTTAGTCTTTCAATGTCCCTTTGCTGCTTATTGACCATCATCCTAAGGAATTCAAGTTCATGTTGACCTCCTTGTATTATTTTCCAAAGTTGTTCAGTATTCTGCATTTTATGACCAATGGATGACATCTCTCTGGTTCTCTGTGGTCTTTGTGTCAGGATTTCTTCGTTTTTCCTCTCACTTTGCTCACTCTTCTTCTGTTACCTTTGTCCGGTACACACACACACACGCACACGCACACGCACACACACACACACACACACACACACACACACACACACACACACACAATCTTTATTTAGATATGCATGTTATTACTGAGGAGGTTGTGGTCATTAAAAATAAAACAGTCACACGATGTTAAGAGTGGAATCAGCACACAAGCCACTATTTCATCTGAAATGTTCTCATGTTCTTTTTTGCCTTGCCCAGCAGAAGCCTAAAATAGTTAGTGTTAGCAAATAAACCAACACTCCCGTATTTTCCAAACTAAAAGGCGCACTGGATTATGAGGCGCACCTTCAATGAATGGCCTATTTTGTCATTTTTTTCATACATTGGGCGCACCGCATTATAATACACAATCTACAATGCATCCACTAGATGGAGCTACACTCAAGGAAACACCAACAGAACGATCAGATGTCAGTAAAACGTATTTAATAAAGCAGCGACACAGTTCATTTAACCAACAGCAAGTTATAACATTGACTCGTTAACATTGAACTCTCTTGCCGCTGCTCTATTTCCGTGTTCAACTGCGTAACCGATCGCCTTAAGTTTGAACTCTGCATTGTCAGCATGTCTCGAGCAAGGAGCCATTTTGGGGTCAAAATATTACCGTAATGACCATAGACAAGACACATCAAATTTTAAGGCGCACTGTGAGCTTTTTAGAAAATGGCAGGCTTTTAGGTGCGCCTTTTAGTGCGCAAAATACGGTAATTGAGATTTAGAACTGTACACAATTCCCTTGTGGCTCTGTACGTAACTGCATATTTGATCACCAGAGATGGGTACTTTACCCTATTTTGCCGTCCGCTCACGGTAGAAGTTTCGTAATTCAAGATAAGATTACCTTTATTTGTCCCCTTCATTCATAAACATTATTGAAAGCACATTAGCTGTGTTTGGCCCCCTGCTGAATCTCCTCCTCAAAATGCTCCTTGAAGGTGGGGTACCGCAATAGGGACATGTTCCCCTTGAGGAAGACCAGCTTGTCAAAGCTGGCACTGGCCAGGCTGGTGCTCTTTGCCAGGAGAATCTAGGGCAGGGGTCTCCAACTCCAAGCCTGGAGGGCTACTGTCCTGCCTGTTTTCCGGCTCTCCCAGCTGCAACACACCTGATCTCAACGTTTAGCTCATCAGCCAGCTCTGAAGCAGCCTTAGAACAATCCTAATTATTTGAATCAGGTGTGTTGCTCCTGGGAGAGCTGGAAAACAGGCAGGTAAGTAGCCCTGCAGACCCGGAGTTGAAGACCCCTGATCTAGGGAGTAGGGTGTTGTACTTCATAAATAAGATGAACCATGCCTCCCTGTGCTCCGCCGGTGAGTTCTCAATGCACTACACGCAGTTGGGGCCCCAGTGGCCAGTTTGGGGCATTCCAGAGGCATACAACACAGCCAGCTTTTTTAACCGGTTGGATTTAATTTTTTACAACTGCTTAAGTGTCAGACAAGATAGCATTTAGCTACAAACATAACCACCGTCGATCACCAGACTGACTGGCGATGTGTACATTTTTGGGGATGGTGGATGAGTGCTCCTCCTCTTGTCTGCTCAAAGCAAAGTGAAGTCACTCCCTCCCATATACAAACACGGTGAACACACATGAGACAAGCGACACGTGATATTTCACATTCGGTATGATTACACACGCAAGACACTCTGGGCGCACGCAAAACCCCATTCCGTTCTTGCCTAGTTCATCCTTTTAAAAAAAACTTCACATCCTCCATCCCCACAATGGGCATCCGGACGGACGGACCGTTCCGTCCCAGGGACGGAATGCCCATCTCTCTTGGTCACTATTCTACAATACTGGACAGTTGAGCACAAGAAAGTCTTCTTACTCCTTCTATTAAAGCTGAGTGGTTTAAAATGAATAACTCTGCACCTCTCTTTTGTAAATGCAGCAAGTACCTGCCAGATTAGCGGTTCACAGACAGTCACTTGCAACCTCCCAACCGCTTCACAACTGAATGGAATATTCATGAAGGATGTTCTTATGCATATGTGTCAAACTCAAGGCCCGCGAGCCAGATTTGGCCACCCTCGTCATTTTGTTGTGGCCTGCGAGAGCTTGAAAGGCCTGAATGTACAAATACAAATCGTTTAAACGCATGCTTTGACCAAAAACGACATTTCCCACAATGCCTGTCGACTATGTTAGTCGCGAAGTGACGGCTCACCGACACTACGTGGTGGTGCGTCAACATCAATCCTCATGATGATCCCAAATTGTCAAGGAAGAGAAAAGTTGATGCAGATGGAAGATTGTTTCAAGAAAGATGGGAAGGAGAATACTTGTTTGTGCTTCAAGGAGAAACGCATGTCTGTCTTATTTTCAGAAACGGTGTCAGTTGTCAAAGAGTATAATCTGTGTCGGCATTTTGACACCAAACACGGAGTTAAGTGCACAAAAGCTAGCCTTGAAGAAAAGCAACAAATTGTGCAAGAACTAAAAGGCAAACTGTGGCTGCAGCAAAATTTATTTGCAAAATCCACAGCCAAAAGCAATGCGGCATTGAAAGCTAACTTTGCTGTGTGTATTTTGTTATTTAGATTTGATGTCACATTATTTATTTGCAGCTGTTGTTGGAATTATGTTTTATGTGTGGATTTATTTGAGGATTTTTGAGATGACAAATTAAATGTATTTGTTATAACAGAGCAATAGGCAAACATTTTTTCTAGGCAACTGTAATGTTTTTCACTTTAAAAAGTGATTTAACATTAAAGAGTAGTTACATTTATTTTACATTGCATTCAATTTTATTAAGTTACAATTATAAGTTACATTTGGCCTTTTGAAGAAAGTCATTTTGCTGATGTGGCCCTTGGTGAAAATGAGTTTGACACCCCTGCTCTAAATTGTCCCTCACAGTGAGTGTGAATGTTTGTTCGTCTATGTGTGCTCTGCGATCGGCTGGCAACCAGTTCAGGGCCTACCCTGCCTACTGCTCGAAGACAGCAGGGATAGGCTACAGCACGCCCGCGACCCTCGTGAGGATCAACAGATTAGAAAATTCATGGATGGATGGACTTCCACTACTCACATCCTTATCTGCCTGTGCCTTGATCAAATACACTAAAATTGCGTTACACCACTTGCGGTTCAAGTTATAAACCTGCATTTTGCAAGTCTGATATCTAGTCTACTTTTTGCAACAACATTTGCAAATGCCCTGTGGGGCAAGACGGGAACACCCAGTGAGGTGTAGCATGTCTACCAAATTCACAAGCATAATGAACGAGACCAGTGGTTCTTAACCTTGTTGGAGGTACCGAACCCAACCAGTTCATATGCACATTCACTGAACCCTTAGTGAAAAATAAAAATATGATTAAAGAAGTGTTCCTTTAGTTTTGCCGGTGCGAGACTAGAGTTGCTCAACTTGACATGACAAATCATGTAGACAGGACGTTGAGTCCCATCACAGTCTGTGATGCATGCGAATCCATGTTGTACATATTCATTTGACCACTTTCTTTTTTTGCTCGACATAGCATGGATTAATTTGTTTTTTTAAATCACACGACGTACGATCACGACTGTCACACTGTGACTACTGAGCGAACTAAATTTCCCGCAGCACTGATTGGACAAGCAATGTAATGTGATCATCTGCAGCCAGTGATGGCCAAGCAGGCGTGTCATAACTGATTGACATGTTGAGTCGGGTATGTCTTAACCTCCATGGCAGAGGCCAACCCCTCAGACTGATTCACCGAACCCCGAGGGTGCGATCGAACCCAGGTTGAGAACCACTGAACTAGACCATCGCCTCGGCAAAATGACGAGATGCCCATTTTACGCCAAGCACAGACGACTTTGTAACCAAATTGTTGGAAGACTCGGCAGCAAGGTATAATGCCAGACTGCTCATTGAAGCGCAACGTGGACCAAAACACACTATAATACACTTGCACTGCCATGAAAATGAAATTTCGCCTGATTTTACACCAAGCGCACTGGCGCCAGTCTATCAAAATATAGCCCCGAGACAGTGTTGTCTCCGAGGACCGGCAACCCGAGGCCAAGGCCAAGGCCAAGGACTTGACTCCGAGGCCAAGGCCAAGGACCAAGGACTGATTTTGAAGCTGAGGCCTAGCCGAGGACAAGGTCAAGGATCAAGGACTGATGTTGAAGCCGAGGCCCAGCCGAGGACATGTATAAAACAATGCTATCATACCACTTGGCAGGTCTTCATGATTTGCAACATCCCTCCACCATAACCCCTAGCACCCCTCCGATAAAAGTAATTTCTTGGGCGATAAAATAGCCAAACATGATGTATCACTTGTAGGTGAAAAAAAAGTATAATTTTATATGTGTTCAGTAATTTCTGTTTTCACGGCCCTCTGAATAGGGTTTGTCAGTCGGCATGGAAGGATTACTCGCTCTGTTCGTTTTTGATCATTGATTGAAGCAGATGGTAGTTGCAGAAACAGTAGAATGATATCAGAAGCAGTAGCAGATAGCATAAGCAGATGCAGTAGCAGATGCAGGATAAGCAGCAGATTCAGGATAAGGAGCAGTAACAGGTAGCTGGTAATAACCCAAAGTAAACAAATGCAATTTAATGAATATATCTACCTTAGGCATCACAATGTAAATGTGTATAGTTGACATTAATTAATTTAATACCTTCAACTTCACAATAATAATAAATATTTCAATCAACCATGATTTTAAACTATGTATTATCAATATTCATTATTGTAAACGTGAGAAAGCATTCAGCAAACATAACTGGAATCGAGCAAAAGGACTCCAAATCCCAACGGCCAAACCCGGAAGTGAAGTGCCGGCATTATTGACTCCAACTGTAACGCAAATTACTTGGTTCAAACAAAAATTCTAGCACCACCACACAAACGTGACAACTGTGCAAAAATAACTAAATAAAAGATACCACTGTTACAGAAAGACTTTACACGGTATTTAAACTGCCGATCGCGAACGGTAACTGACCGTGATTGAAACG